AGTCAGTATTGGAACACCACAGATGCTCCTGTGGGCAATCTTCAATCGGCCGATGCGCAGCAGGATAAGGCCGCCAAGGCAGCAGTGTCCGCCGGTATTGTACCGTTCTTAGAACGCAATACAACCAACGAGACGTTGCTGCGGGGTCGTGCGTACTTCCTGCAGCGGCTGATCAAGGTCCTACTTTCACGCGAGGGCTACGAAGGCTTTGAGTCCAGCGTATCCATCGCTCACTTGGAGAATCGCGTGGCTGCCGCGCTCTCTTTGGGGGCCAAGGATGAATTCCGTCTCTACCTCTCGATGTACGCCAAGCGTTTAGGCGCGGAAGGGCTGAAGATGAAGGTGGAGGAGCTCCTCAAAGGCCTGATCGGTGGTCTGTTTGAGGAGGATGACACGGGTAGCGTTCGTCGTTTGCAGGACAATGAGCAAGAGGATCGGAATTGGCGCGAGAGCTCCGAGACGCTCTGTGGCTGGCCACGGGAAGTGTTGCTCAAGGAAGTGATACTGTCGCTCGGTAGGTTCTGGCCGCTGTACTACGTTTCTTGTTCCATGCTTGCTAACCAGGTTACTTTCTAGGCAAACATCGGGATCTCCAGCGGGTGACGGTGCCATATGCGAAACTGCTGGGGATGGTGGACAACGAATCGGAAGTGGGCGATGCCATGGAGACGTAGACTTCTTTCCTTGCAGCAGCTTTCAAACCGATGATTGCGTTTGGCGTTCTGTTGGCGTTGCGTAGTCAAATTCACTCCATACCGATCGGGGGACGGATGGATGTATGCATGCATGGGACTGAGGGAGGGCTTCTTTTCCTTTCATTTAAGCATCATGCGGATCGCGCTTGCAATATTATGTACTATATTGAAGTTAATCTTGACCATGGTCGGAGGTGTTTATTGCAATTCGCTTCGGCGACAGCGACAGCTACAGCTCCTCGCTATGTGCTATATAGGAGTAGAGTCATGGGAACGACGACACGTGATGAGACAGGGTTTGCAGGGCTGGCGAGTCATGTGGGCGGTGAGGGGTGACGAAAAAAGAACAGGGCGTCTCTCCACCGCACACAACCTGAGAAGCACGCGTCATACTACTTGCTGTGCTTTGTTGCTTTGTTGCTTTGTTGCTTAACCACTCATCTTCAATTGGAAACCAATTGGGCCTGTAAAGCCTGTAAAAGATCTTTTCCAATTCTACCTACTCATAAACCACCAATTTCCGCCCACAGCTTTGCTGGTGGGCATCGTCATCACGTCTCCTTCACAGCCGGGCCACCTGCTGTTACTTTCATTCCGCTTCCATCGCTCCGCAGCTGGTCCTGCTTTGGCCTCGCGCCTGATCCAATCTCAATCTCTCTTCCTCAACCCCTCCTCCTCTTCCTCCTCTTCCACCTCTTTTACCTCCCCCTCCTTCTCCTTCTCCTCCCCGCTCTCCTTCCTCTCCCGCCGGTCCTATTCCAGCAAGAAGAAGAAATCCTCCAAAATGCCCCCCAAGAAGGCTGTCGTGCAAGAGAAGGTCCTTCTGGGCCGCCCAGGAAATAACCTGAAGAGTGGTATCGTATGTGAGCATTGACCCCACCGACTAATTTTCCTTTCTGCTTTTTCCCAAATCTTTTTTTGACCCTGCCCGTTCTGCTGCCCCTCCCAGCCTTCCGAATTTTTTATCCGTTCCCCTTTCTTACCCTATTTAACCTCGCTTCCCATGCATGAAAAAAATTTCTTCCTTTCTTTTTTCCCTTCAACACCATAATTCCCACACAATCCTTTGTAGGAATTAAGGAACACAAGATGGTTTAACATCTTTCTAGGTTGGTCTCGCCAACGTCGGCAAGTCCACTCTCTTCCAGGCTATCACGAAGTCTACGCTGGGTAACCCCGCCAACTTCCCCTATGCCACCATCGACCCCGAGGAAGCTCGTGTCATCGTCCCCGATGACCGCTTCGACTGGCTGTGCGAGCACTACAAGCCCAAGTCCGTGGTGCCTGCCAACTTGACCGTGTATGATATCGCCGGTCTGACCCGCGGTGCCTCCACTGGTGCTGGTCTCGGTAACTCGTTCTTGTCTCACATCCGCGCCGTCGATGCCATCTTCCAGGTCGTTCGTTGCTTCGACGATGCTGAGATCATCCACGTCGAGGGTGACGTCGACCCCGTTCGTGACTTGAACATCATCAGCGAGGAGCTGCGCGTCAAGGATATCGAGTTCGTCGAGAAGGCGCTCGAGGCCCTCCAGAAGCAGACCAAGCGTGGTGGTCAGACTCTGGAGATGAAGAAGCTGCGCGAGGAGGAGGGTACTGTTGCCAAGGTCCTCGAGTGGCTGCGCGAGGGCAAGGATGTCCGCAAGGGTGAATGGGGCCCTAAGGAGGTACGTTTATCATTCTCCCCCTTTGCACTTTTTTTTCCAGCCCTCCTACCCATTATTATGATGAATAAGAGCATCGCTCGAATATAACCCAGCTCGTCGAGTGGCCTCATTTTATTTACAACGCAGAGGCCACATTGAGAGAAAATCCTATCTGATAATTTACTTTCTATCGCTATTCATACCGAATGTCGCGTGATGGAAATAGAGTGCTAATCAGTGTCGCTCTATAGGTCGAGACTATCAACCCTCTCATGTTGTTGACGGCTAAGCCCGTTGTCTACCTGGTCAACCTGAGCGAGAAGGACTACATCCGCCAGAAGAACAAGTACCTGCCCAAGGTGTTCGAGTGGATCAAGACCAACTCTCCCGGTGACCCCCTGATCCCCATTTCCGTCTCCTTCGAGGAGCGCCTGACCCGGTTCGAGGACGATGCCGCCGCCCTCGAGGAGTGCAAGAGCCTGAACACCAAGTCCGCCCTGCCCAAGGTGATCACCACCATGCGTCAGTCGTTGAACTTGGCCAGCTTCTTCACCACTGGTACCGACGAGGTCCGTCAATGGACCATCCGCAAGGGTATCAAGGCCCCTGCCGCGGCCGGTGTCATCCACACCGACTTCGAGAAGACCTTCATCCAGGCCATCGTGTACAACTACGCTACCCTGCGTGAGTACGGCGACGAAGGCGCCGTCAAGGCCGCCGGTAAGATCATGACCAAGGGCAAGGATTACGTCGTCGAGGACGGCGACATCCTGCTGATCAAGGCCGGTGCTGCTCGCAGCTAGATGTAGTTGTCGGGTGAAAATGACTTGTAGCAATCAAAAATGAAATTGTTATGAATTGTCCGCTGAGTGTCCGAGTAGATCTGAATGTAGAAAAGGTGCTGCTTGTGTCGGTCTGCTACAAGTACTCCATCAAACGATATTTCTCACAGGTTTTGTAGCGCATCTGCTTTAGGAACTACTCACGTAAGGTCCTACACGGCCCTGGACGCGGTTTTGTACGGGATGCTGGTTGCGTCACTGGCTAGTGGTAGAACGACATGCGGTCTGTTCCTATACAGCATAACCAATTACCTTCTGCATTGTTGCGTTGAAACTGTTGTGAGGTGCTTGGTACGGACAACGCTGTTTCTCGTCCTCGCCTTTCGTATGTATCAACTCTTGGAGGATCTACGCATAATAATCCGATCGGAGGTACAAATAACAACTTAAGATCAGGGGGTACGACGAGCTGGAAGGAAAAGATTGCTCATTCATGGACCAAAGCACCATGGGTTGTAGCTTAGATTGCACGGGCCAATATATACCAAGAAGAACAACAAAAAGCTTACCTGGAAGAAGCGCCCAAGCAGTAGACTACTCATACTTTGAATGATGTCCATCGACGTGCTCGTCGAGTTGGGAAACAGAGGATGCGAGAGAGAGAGAGAGAGAGAGAGAGAGAGAGAGAGAGAGAGAGAGAGAGAGAGAGAGTATGAAGCACGTGACCGGTCGCCTTCCCCGCAACGCCCACCTGCAGATAATGCCATCCGCCGCCGCGATCCCAACAACAGGTTCCGAGAATCCACAGCATCAGACACCATGTTCAAAAAAGAGTGAGTTCGTTCTGCAGTTGGGAGGGGCAGGATTTCCCTACAATGATCGCAATTTCCAACATCAATTCCCCCGCATCCACAATACAACAAAAGCAATCCTGAAGGGAAATCATTCTTACCCCGCCTACCTACCTACCTTTTCCCAAACTACCTACAAGCCAGCTCACTGAACTTCCGATCCCTCCTAGCACCCCTCTATTCTCCATTGTATGGAAACCCCCAAGCTAACGATTCGCTCTTTCGGTAACGTGACAGAATCCCCCCGAGCAACCGCTCGAAAGTCAAATCCAGCGTGCAGCGCGCCCTGCGCCAACGCTTCCTGGAGACCTACCCGGGCTTCGAGCCGTACATCGAGGAGGTCCTGCCCAAGAAAGCCCAGCTGGATGCCGTGAAGCTGTACGCGTTCCCCTTTTCTCCCAGCCTAGCTGCGCGCCCCCCCAACCCCGCAAGTCAGCTAATCAAAAAGCAAAACAGCCCCGAAAGAGCCACCCTCTACAGCATCGACTCCACCCCGCTCTTCTTCCAACCGCTCGACGGCCCGCCGATCCCGCATCTGAAGCTTGTGCACGCCTACCCGGACGCCCTGCCGACGGTGCAGATCGATCGCGGCGCCATCCGGTTCGTGCTCTCGGGCGCGGCGCTCATGGCGCCGGGCTTGACGTCGGCGGGCGGGAAGTTGCCGGACACCGAGCATGCGGTGGAGGCGGGGCAGGTGGTGGCGGTTAAGGCCGAGGGGAAGGAGACGGTTTGTCTGGTCGGGGTGTTGAAGGTCGGGACCGAGGAGATCAAGGCGAAGGGGAAGGGGGTCGTTTTGGATGAGGGGCATTATCTTGGGGATGGGCTTTGGAGGATGGTTTTGGATTAGACTTTTCGCCAACTGGGATGAGAGGGGTTGGAGGGGGGGGGGGGGGGAGATCCGGGGATCAGGGAAGGGAGTTTAGATGGTGAGGGTGTGGTTGGGTTCTGTTACTGTTTATGTCGAAGATGAGTGCACGCTTTATTCTTGATACCATTGCTTTGCAGCTGAATGGATGCATTGGATTTCTCTGTTCTTGGGGTTTGATATTCATGGGATTGAGAGAGGGGGAAGGGCTCGTATATACATATTCTCCGTGATTCTAACTTTACACCGGATGTGATCACTCCAGTTCGGGAGGCCGCGGGGACAGCGGCGACGTCGGCGATAGCGAGGACCACGACGGCGTCCGCATCGCCAGTCCCAGCCCCTTCACACTCGTGCTGGACCCGTTCATCCCCATTCCCGCCCCGGGCAGCTGGAGCCCTCCATCAGTCAGCCCCGCGCGGGTCACCGCCCGCTGTAACATCTCCCCCGTCTCGTCCAGGGCGATCAGGAATCTCGCCAGCTCCGCGCACAGGTCCCAGTCGTTCTTCTTCGAGGCCAGGTACATGAGCCGGACCACGTAGTCCTCGATCGGAGCGTCGTGGTCGTCCGCATCATCCTCGAAGGCTTGCAGCACCAGCAGATAGCCAACGGCGGTCTTGAGGGACCCGAGCTTGAGGGCTTGCTCGAACAGGTCCTTCGGCGACGGGAGGTAGGTGAACAAGGTGCGCCAGGAGCGCAACTCCGTCTTGCGCGTGCATTGGACCACCACGTCCAGGTACACCTTTGTGGGTAAGGATGCTTGTAGGAAGGAGATGACTATCGGCAGCAGTGGCTCTTGTTTCAGGGAGGGGTCGTCGACCTTGCTGTCGCGGCTCTGGTTGTCGACCTCATCGTCCAGGACGTGGTGAAGGAGGATCTCGAGGGCGTGCGGAAAGTAGGATAGGTGGGAGAAGTGCTGGCACAACGACAGCGCTGCAGGCATGTCGCGCTGTGTCAGACTGTGCTGAAGGACGTACGGCAGGAAGAGGTGTGTCTAGCAGAGTTAGTGCTGCACCGGCGTCACTGAGTGGAAACTCACCCTAATGGCGAACTTCAGCACGGAGAAGGTGACATCGCGTCGCTGGGTCATCTCGGCTTCCACACCAAGCACGATTCCCTTGTTCAGGAGAACAGACAGCGGATAAAAGTCCAGGGGTACCTCCAGGGGTTTGGATGCCTCTTCCCGCTGTAGAACGTCCTGCACATCTCCCCAGGCGATGAGCTCTTTCCCACAAAACGTCCATAGCGAGTCCCTCAACGACAAGTCGCTGCGGTACATATTCAAGGCCATTTCAGCCGATGGACTGGCCGGGAGGGACTCGTCGACAGGCGCAAAGTTGAACGATAATTGATCTCGCATCAGGATATAGTATTCGACATCGTGGGATACCACCCGCATGTCGTATTTCAAATCGCCAGTCTCCGAGAACGATGGCTGTAGCAGGACCAAGTTGCCATCAACCAAAAGAAGCACAGATGCCACCTTGACATCCTGGGAAGGGTCGCCGTTCCCTGGTCGCTTTTTGTTAGATCTGGCTCTCGCAGGGTGCTGGCACACTTACGCATTTGGTCTTCGGGCAAAATCCAACTGATTGCCCGGACCCTGGTTGGCGCGCGCACAATCCCATGAAATGCAATCTGCCCAACGGGCACCAACGTTATTCGGGAGTGAGCTGAATTGATGATATAGTGATAAAGAATATTGTCGTATGTATAAACGAGCAGCGAGTCCTCGCCTGATGCTCCGACAAAGACTACTGGCGAAGGTAGGTATTCAATGTGTAGGATGGATTGGTTGTTGAGAGGCATTTCCCGCGAGTACAACCGCAACTTCGCAGTCGATCAGTATAGCCGCGATCAGACATCGATGGTACACTTACCTCGTAAGATCCGTCATTGTCAATGGCGGCGATCAGAATGTGTCCGTACCAGAACATGCCCCCGCGTACCGCGAAGGAATTCTCGATCTTGGGATCCTCGAACACTTTCCAACGTCCGCTGTTGACGCTGTAGTGTGCAAGCCCTCGTCTGCCCGCGATAGCTACATATCTCCCATCCTGTGAGACAACACTAGAGCGAATCGGCCACTGTGAGTGAAGGTAACTCGGAGGATATTGAGCATGATGCCACAGCGAGTCCTTCCCCGAAATGGTCATAAGATCGGGTAGATCATGGCCACGGTAGAGGATAACCTCGGTTCCAGTTTGCAGCAGACCTCTAGCCAGGTTCGCAGACGAATAACAGCCTGTCAAAGCGCTCCGTGCTGTCTCTAGAATCCACAAGCGACGGTCGTTCTGGCCTGTAAGTATGATTTCTGACCCTCCACCGATCCAACAACCATGAGAAGTTCCAGTCACCCAGTTCTCGCCGTTTGAGTTAGCAAGAGATCGGTCCGCCGCAAAGCTACTCTCTCCCGACTTCCCAAAAACGCTCCATGTTGTCCAACCATGCTTATACCCAGCAAACAGGCAATAGCCGTCTGGCGAATAGCCCATAAATGTAACACTGCCCGTCGTGGTTGGCGAAGCCGGGAGTTGTAGTTTGTGCGATAGAGGAACATTGCCCAGGTAGTCCTTGGCTGTGTAGACTAGGATCTCTCCGTTGGCGCAGCTCACTGTGAGCAGAGAAAATCGTGCATTAACTACTACCTTGACGGCTCTCTCGCCATCATTCTTGGGGTCATGGAAGCAATGGCCTTGGAACAACTTCTTGGAGTCATCCGAGTCCTCTGGGGCTCGCTGCACGGCATACGCCTGTCCCTCGTTGGTGACCCATATCAGCAGGTTGATAGCACGATCATACACCATGTCCGTGATTGATGTGCGCTTTGAAACCCCCAGAATCCGACTAAGAAGTTCTGACTTTGTTTGCGAGCCGTCCGCATCCGGGTTCCAACGAATGCATTGGATGGCCGCAGGTTTGACAGTTGCGACAACGAGCTCATTATCAAGTGCGAGGGCCTTGGCGATTCCCGACTCTATCTTGATAGCCATTCGGAAACGTATGCTGACATCTCGAACGCCAGTGGCCTCTTCCTCCGCGGCTAACCGAGCGAGCGTCTGGCGGCGGGTTGAAGTCGAGGTAGATTGATCAAAGAACTGTTGATATACACGGGTATTAGGGCTAACAGCAATGGTATAGGTAAGAAGATATCCGTTCAGCGTCTGAGCAACAAGTATATTCGAGTCGGGATGCATCAAAAGGGCCACGTTGGGACCATAGTTCTCCAGCGAAGAGGCGGACCGAGCAACGGCAGCAACAACGGCGGTAGGCTATATTACCTGTCAACATGCGCGCTCTACCCAACAAGATCAGCGATGGCTTCACTTACTCTTGTTTGCCAGAGAGCGATCGACGAACTGGTCATCGTCGCAAACATATAACCACTGCGAGAGACACAAAGGCCGGCAAGAGGCTCGTCAGCCCACGCCGTCTCCGCAATGGCCGGTTTGTCACGGGCATTTTCAGTTTTCAGCGCCTCCTCCTGTGCCGTAGGGCTATCGTAGTTCAGGGATTCGTCGTCGTCAGATGTGAGAACCGGTATTCCAGGGCCATTGATCGCATAGACCCGGGGGACTCCATAGGGCCAGTACATGGCTCGGTGCAGGCGCGAGAGTCACGGAGTAGAGCAGCTTCACATCGAGTCATCTTCGGTTGAGGCTAGAACGTTAGATTGCCGGACTCGAGACAGAGATTCCCCCGTATCTGCCGACCATGTCCTTTCAGTAATTGTCCCGACTGCACTGTAGACTGTAGATTTGATGGATTGTCGTACCGGAAGTTAATATGAGCTGGAGGGCAGTCGAGAGCACGGGGGCTATCACGTGCAGGTAAGCTCCCGAAGCAAACAAACCAAACAAGACTAAGGGCCCCCGCATCCTAAATTCCGCCTCCCCGCCAACTCTTTTGGCCAGCAAGATAATCTCCTCCCCTTTCGCATTGATACCCAATCTGCTCACATCATGGTACGTGGGCCCCTTTTAGTGTTTCAACTGCATACACTCCCCCTCTCAACTTACTTTCTGACGTGTCTTATCATCTAGGCTCCTACCGAGTCCAAGAAGCGCTTGGCGCTTGCTATCATCGACTTCCTGGGTGCCAGCTTGAAGGATGGCACTCTCGGTGCCGATGACGCCGAATCCATCGAGATCGCCCAGTCCTGCATCGCGGATACGTTCAAGGTTGACCCCTCCGACGAGGCGGCTGTGAAGGATGCTCTTGGTGGACAGTCTCTGGCCAGCATCTACAGCGTCTATGAGAAACTGCGGAACAAGCCCGCTGCCGGCGGTGCTGCGACTGAAGGGAAGCCCCAGAGCGGCGCTCCCACTCCGGAATCCGACAAGCTGAAGTCGGAGGGAAACGCCGCCATGGCGCGCAAGGACTACAGCAGTGCGATCGACTTGTACACCCAGGCTCTGGCCATCGCCCCCTCGAACCCCATCTACCTCTCCAACCGGGCTGCTGCCTACTCCGCCGCCGGACAGCACGAGAAGGCGGTTGAGGACGCGGAGCTTGCCACCGCCGTCGACCCCAAGTACTCCAAGGCTTGGAGCCGTCTGGGTCTGGCTCGTTTCGACCTGGCCGACTACCACGGTGCCCTCGAGGCCTACGAGAAGGGCATCGAGGCTGAGGGTAACGGTGGCAGCGAGGCCATGAAGCGGGGTTTGGAGACCACCAAGAGGAAGATCGAGGAGTCGCAGCGCGGTGCGGAGCCCCCTTCTGACGCTGTTGATGATGCCGCTGGCGCCTCTCGCGGTGCTGGCGGTATGCCTGATCTCTCTTCCCTCGCTAGCATGCTCGGAGGCGGTGGCGGCGGCGCCGGCCGCGGCGGGATGCCCGATCTTAGCTCTATCATGAGCAACCCCATGTTCGCCAGCATGGCCCAGAACCTGATGAGCAACCCCGATGCGCTCAACAACCTCATGAGCAACCCCCAGCTCAGACAGATGGCTGAGAACTTTGGCCGCGGAGGTGGCATGCCCGATATGTCTTCTCTGATGAGTGACCCAAGCATTGCCGAGATGTAGGTTCTCACCCTATCATTGCTTAAAGTGGACAGACACTAATCTTGTGATATCAGGGCCCGGAACATGATGGGCGGCGGTGCTGGACGGGGAGGCCAGTAATGACTAAAACCATCTTCTGACGCCCGTGCAACTTTTTTTTTCATCACTTGCGAAAGAATATTTTCCTTTAAATTCACTAAGCTCGTTGGCTGCATTTAGCTTCATTTTTTCTGTAACAAGCTTGAGGACCTTTCTGATCTCGCGAAGGAGAATAGAGACTGATGAGCGATACGCACACTTTTGAGTGAGAAGCGTAATATTCTTTTTCACATTATATTCACAAACTCTTCGACGAGCCTCGATCTGTAGGCCCAAGCCGTTGAGGCATCAAGCCCCGATTTTGGCCTCAAGAGCTTCTGTAAGATCTTCATCCTGAAGAGGCGGTCCTTCAGCTGAAACTGGGTAAAGGGTAAGAGGAACTGAGCTAAGTACTGACGCAGATGCAAAAAGAATCATCAGATGAGTGGAGGAGGATTTTGCCAAACACAACACGGGACGCCCCGAAACGCCGAAAGGAAACAAGTAACCCGGGCCTCTTGTGCCCGATCAAGGTCTCTCTGAGACAACAACTCCCGAATCCAGAGATAGCAAGCTCGCCAGCATCTTTCCTGAAACGAATTGGCCAACGGAAGGGGGGAATTTGTGCGTGATTAATCAAGTTACATTCACAGGTAGTTGCAGTTCATGAAGCGCCAGTTCCGCCTGGCCTCTATTTGAAAAGGTCAATATTGTACAGTCGGATATGATATCAAAACATTCGAGAAGAGTAATAAGAAATTCATGGGCCGATGATCAGAACAACGGAGATATTGTTGAGAAAGGAGCAGGGTGGTTTAAGTCAAGAGAGCCGTTTGAGGGTGATTTAAATGTAGTCACGAGCAGCCTTCTGCAGCTCGATCAATCTCCATCCACGGGTCTCCGGGTTGTTGACATCCTCAGGTATCCGAGTGAGACCGATAGCGTAAGTAACCAGCTGAACCTTGTCTTCCATACCGGCGGCGAGTTCACCAGACTTCGCGTTCTTGTAAACGTGGACCTCCTGTGTACGGCAGGTCACAACGAACACGGGAATGTCACCGGGGTCCAACATGCGAGCATGGGAGACGTCAACTCCACGGATATCGAGGATACGACCGTCGGATTTGAGACCGAGGTTAGTGTACTGCTGAGCGAGTGCAGCATAGACGTTGAACTGAGCTTCTGAAAGCCAGAGCTTGAGGGTTTCGACATCACCCTTAACGTAGGCATCGAGGACCTCGGGCAGGATATATTCACGCATCTCCCTCAAGAATGACTCCATCTGGAAATTGGGGTCCATCTCGCGGAATTTCTTGATGACCTGAGCCGTCTCGTTCTCGGCGAAGAAACCAGCGACACGATCCGAAATGCTGCGCGCAGTGGTGATGAGGGGGTTTTCCGACTCGTCGTAGGTGTTCTTGAGAGTGAAGAGCTTCTGCATCATAGGGTTCGAGTCCTTGAAATCACGCCACGACTCCTTCCAAGCAGCGTCCTTGTGGAGTGTGACGTTGGTTCCCGCGCTGAAGGAACATAAATGTCAGATGCAGGTGGTTAATGGGTGACAAGAGAAATGACTCACTTGGGATCTTCCACCATCGGCTCGCTGCGACGACCAGACTTGGCTTCCATCTCTTCGCGCAATTTCCTCTGCTTCCGGCGCTCCTCCTTCTCAACCCAGCCACCATAGCGAGAGCTGCTGCCGTCATCGATGGCATTCTTCACGCCTCCAACGGCAGTCTTGTAAGCCTCAGTTTCGCGAACAGGTCTCGTGACCTTCTCGATTCCGGAACCAGTGGCGTTGACACCCTTTCTAATACCCTTCACCACGGGCGTGTTCCACGTCCAGGAAGCGCTCTTGCCGATGGCCTTGCCGGTGTGCTTCAACGCGGTGGAAGTCTTGGAAGTCGCGGCTCCAGAGGCAGCTTCGTAAGCGGCACGAGCCCGCTTGACGTTCTCGTTCTCAGTGAACTGGTGAGCGGAGGACGCGAGGGCCTTGGTCGACTCATTCCACTCTTTTGATGCCTTGAACTCGGTTTGGAGAGTCTCCCTGAAGACTTGCCAGGGAGTCTTATCGCCATGGGGAGGGGGAGGAGGGGCGTCCTTCTTCTCGCCCTCCTTCTGTTCTTCACTCTTTCCCTCGCTCGATTCCTCTGACTGTTTCTCCTTTTCTTGCTGCTGCTGCTGCTGCTGCTGCTGTTGTTGCTGTCTGAGGGGGGTGGCAACATGGAAGGACCTGGTCAATGGCAGAGCGGCGTAGGGAGAGAGAAGGTGAGGGAGTGTTGTGCGCTGTTGATTCAGAGATAGAATGTTCCGTACTGCTGGCGATGTCGAAAAGGAGCAAGTCTGCACCAAGGAGTGCTGGCTGTAAGCAGTCTTCAGGCTCGGGACATAGGTCCGTAAAGTGGCCGCCCGCGCGGTGGCGGACATTTTGGTAGCGGAGATCATGCTATACAGAAGATAAACCACCAAGACTATAATTGACCCAAGGTCCCGAAGGAAAGAGGTTTATGAGAAGAAAAAGGCCCCGAATGGGTTAGGGAAGGGAAAGGTTGGAAGGGTAGAAGTGAACTGGGGAAGAGGAAGAAGCGATGTCGGCAGTTGCTCTAAAGGGAAAGGAAAAAGTCGAGATGCGAAAATGCCAAGCATCGATAAAATTCGGCCCTCTTCCGCCGCCCTTTCGTTCCGGCCCAGTGTTGCGCCGCTCGGCAGTGTGTACAGCGCCTACAGCCCATAACCAACGCTTGCCTTCAGTTCATTGCATCGGGTCGACATCTTGTTTCTCGCTCTTCCGGTGATCAATTAGTCGTGTACCCTATCGCGTCCACCGAGAAGTCGGTCCAGAATCGTCCTTCAATCAGCAAAGCGCCTTTGCGCAGCAACAACACCCTCTGCGTCAAGTTACACCAAGATGAGCACATCCTTTGTCAGTGCCCTCACGAGGGCGCTGCCGTCGATCGGCAGACCTCTTCAGCTTCGGATTTCTCCTCTCAGTTCGATAAGGCCATTCTCATCGACTCCGGCGAAACCGGCGAACACCTCTGGAGAGGCCCGTGACTTGGAAAGGCAGATTCTGGGTACGAAACCCAAGGTTGCCAACTCCGACAACCAAGCCTCTACGCTCGATGATCTCTTCGGCTCTACAGGTCTCAGCCGGTCTTCTGAGAAGACAACCTACAGCTTCCAGAAGCTGCAAGGTAGCCTGGAAGCCGAGATGGTCGGGCAACCTTATGTCGACCGGTCTCCTCCCTACAATCTCCATGTTTATTCCCACAAGCACAACACGATCTTGACATTGACTCGGCCCAATGGCAATCCGATGATGTCTCTCAGCTGCGGTCATCTTGGTTTTCGCAAAGGTGGACGTGCTGGTTTCGACCCGGCATTCCAGTTGACCTCTCATTTCTTTGCCCAGATGCAGGAGCGGGGATACATGATGGAGATCAAACGCATGACACTCGTTTTCCGCGACTTCGGACTTGGCCGGGACGCTTTCACCAAGGTCTTGCTGGGTAATGAGGGGAAGAACATTCGAGGCACGATCTGTCGCGTATCGGATTGCACCCGCGTCAAATTTGGTGGAACGAGAAGCAGACATGTACGGAGACTGGGTTAGGAGATTCGCCGCTTTTGGGAGTTCTGTCTGGAGCTATATTTTTTACTCGACGCAAAATA